ACATAGGTGCAGTCTCCACGCAGTTCGGCTTGATGAGGGCACCTCCTTGGCTCCAGTCGATCTCTGCAGGTAAATTGCTATGAAGCTATGCAATAACAGGAACTTCGTTTACAAGGAACTTGGCAAGAGTCTACAGATGTCAATGGTGAGACGTGCAGTTCAACAGGAACCAACAAAGGAAACTTGTGAAAGGGCAACATGCCTCTCTCAACCAGCGCAGAATAGAACTTTGGAGGAAGTAAGTCAGAGCCTGCATGCATCTTGTTCCAGTGGCTGTGGTTCAACGACAAAGTACGGAGAAACCAAGAGAAGCCAAATGAAATTAAAATTCAATAGAAGTTTGTAGAGAAGTTTCTGGTGATGGTCAAATATCGCCGGGTATTTTTCCGGTAGTAAAGTTCTTCCCATTTTGGGGCTTGTTCTCGGTGACACAGTTCAGGCGAAATGTATAGGCGGAAGCATTCAACCGTTGTGCCTTCCCCGCCGTTTTTCTTAGAGCAGAAAGGAGGCCACCTGTGTGCCCAGGATCCCCAACTTCCCGTCGATTGCTGTGCCATTCAGCGCCTTAACTATCATAGACAGCTTTTTATTCCTTCTGTTATAATCTGCTCCAGAAACTATTTTCTCAATCTTCCTGGTCCCGATGAGTGAGGGTGTAGGCGGGCAATGTGGGCCTAGGATGACGGGCACTCAGCACTTTTTTTGGCTATACCCCAGGGATTTCCAAATGAGACTTCGGCTTGCAGTAGACAACAAATCAGTATTGAGTGTCTTTGTAGGCGGAAGTAGCGCAGTCAGGGTAGCGCGTCGTTGTGCAAAACCCGTAAAGGGGTCGAATTTAGCTTCAAGAGAAATTTGTTCGGGTGTTGGTTTTCCTCGTACTCTTTATCCACCTTACTCGCTCGATGGCGAGCGGTAGTTTTTCAGGAGAAAAAGTGACAAGAAATTGGAAAGGTTTGGGAGGATGGTAACTAGGATGGGAAATGGGAAAAGAGGTCGCATCAGAGGAGGAAAGGTTTCGAGAGGGAGGTCGAATTTTGCAAAAATATTTCCCAACGGCGGGACGTGCTTTATTTCATTCTGAAACCTTCCTCTTGGGGATCAGCTAATTATAACTCATCGTGGTGTTGCGCTCTGAAGCAAAAAAGGCTCAAGGGCGCCATTGCCACAGGCTCGGAAAAAGGTGGCAGGTCAGCGAACGGTTTACCACCCAAATATAAGGTCATTTAGTATCAGATTTGTCTGGCAAGATGAAAGCGGTGAGAGTGGTTTGACTGATGCTTTGTAGCAAATCACGTTTAGTTCAAGCCCTGTGACAGCGCCTTCCTTCCCTCTCCACGCGTAGAGATCAGAAGCTGTTCCTCCTCATCGTTCTGCCAAAGCCTCACTACGACTGTCTTGAATGGAAAATTGCAATCACAATGTTTTGACATATAATTTAGCGCCTGAACTTGCCTTTTTTTCGAGAACGTTCTCAACGAGAAACAGGATCTACTTATTCAAGTTGTTATTTACTTCAGCGTTCTACTTACTTGACGGTTTTGTGGTTTCAGGCTCGTTGTATGCAAGAAACAGCCAATCATCTGGAAGAAGTTGGTTTGGCAAAGTCTGTGGCGGTGTTCTCGGACGCGTTTGTGCCAATTGTGAAAATGGTCGAAAAGGACACATTGGTCAATGTGGATATTTCGTTCAACACAGCGCAAGGTGTTAAAGCGGCCGATTACATAGAAAGGGTAGGAATTGATCGATTCATTGGTAATTTATTGGCCTCAAAGTATTATACGAAGGAATTGTTCGGTAGCGATAGGACATGTTCACTAGCAGGGCTCGTCCTGCCTTCGGGGGCAATTTTTGCTAGCACGACTCCTCACCCCCCTGAAAGCATCCTCCTCTGGTATGAAACGCATCTCCCAACCTACGTACCGCCTTCCTAAATATTCCCAATTTTCCTTCCCACCACCTTTCTGTTGTCTTTTTTCCCCGGAAATTCCTCCTTTTTTCCCCAAGAAAATGAAAAAAAAACTGAGAACTCCAGTTGAGAGCCGGTGATGGGAGGGGGCTCATAAACCTCGATAATGAGATACAATGTACCTAGTTCGGATTTCCAGGCTAATCTGCATTTTGTAGTGCAGTTTATGGGGTAGATGACTAGGTGCGAAGAACTCCTTTTATGATCACGCAACGCAACCGCTCGCGTCTGATCACGAATATTTGGTCTCATTTTGATTTGACTAGTCCTTGCCGGTGCCAAAGAATACCGTGATATGTGCAAATATTATAGCTTTGATTCTGTGTATGGATTTGCGTCGTTAAGAGCTCATCGTTGCAAACTTGCTCATCTATTTGTTTTTTATTTATTAAGATTTCGACTTCCAGGTCAAAGAGGAGTTTCCTGTGGTAGAGCCGTTGATACTGGTCCTGAAACAGTTTTTGATATTACGGCGATTGAACACCACCTATACAGGCGGTTTGTCGTCGTACGGTCTTATACTGATGCTGATTAATTTCCTTCACGTGAGTCAGCACTTTCCATTAAGGTTTTAACTTTTTATTAATGCCATTCTTGGCGCAGGTCGGCCTGATGGGGGCTTTTTACTGGTTCCTATCGATCATTGCCGACGTCTTCGGTGAAAACCTGTAAACTCTTGTCAAGCTATGCAATAGCAAGTGTCCTGTTTACACTTGACAGGAGTCTACGGATCTCACCAAGGTGAAGTTAACAGGAAGCAGTGAGATTCCCCTCCCCCCTCCGAGCCAAACGGCGCTTAGTTCATTATGAATTACCGAGTCAACGTTTGTTCTTTGCTTCGATTCGGATGGTGGGTTTTTGTGAGTTGGTGTACAGCTTGGAATGTTACACAGCTGATGGATGTTTTTCAATTCGTATTTCACGGCTCTTTGCTTCTTCGTCGAACTTGTTCGACCGACCGTGACGTCTTCACTAGCACTGAGGGCTTGAAGCGCAGTTGAGTGGAATGACTCAGATGAAGCGAGTGTGGGGTGAAAATGACCTCGGTTTAAATTTAAATCATCGACGGGGTGTTGAGTTCAACGGGAAAAATTTGAACACAGTTGGATTCTCGGGAAATCGTTTGGGGGTTTCAGGGTGAATTCTCGATGTGGATCCCCCAGAAACACATCAGGGGGTGGTTTTTGGGCGCTAGGGGAACCGACTCATAGGAATAGAATCTCTTTTACAGCTGATTTTGGCACAGGTCGGTTTGGTGGGAGCATTTTGCTGGTGGGTTCCATCGATCGGGGATGCCTTCGGTGGAGAATTGTAAAATCTTGTAAAGCTATGCAGCAGCCCGAGTATCGTTCGCAGCTGAGAAGAGTCGACAAGGCTTGCCATGGTAAAACGTGTAATAGCAGGAACTAGTGAGAGAAACCAGCGAATGTGCAAAAGCCCCCCCCCCTCCTTCTGAAAGACTCTGATTTTTTCGGTTACTACTTATCCCGTTTCATCAAGTGCACTCCACACCCTCTCCCTCATTCCTTCTCCCATCTAGTGGGCGATTTGGCAAGTTCATTCTTTCTGATAGGGAGTGTTATCCCTAAAAGACAGAGAATTGGCCGCATTATCGCGCCCGGCGCGTCGTGGCGGTGCGCGGCAAATTCTAGCTGTGCATCAGTTTGTCGATTGAAGCAGCGAAATTCATGATGATTCAAACGGGGCAGAAACTCCTGAGTGTTGTCGATCTTTCCCGTTCGTTCAACAGTCATATTCGAGCGACCGGGCACGGCAACTTGTCTTTCGCATGCGCGGCGCCGCTCGCCGCCCAACGCGGCATATGACGATTCTCTTGGCCCATACCCGTCCACTCCACGTTCCGTGAAAGTGCGAAATGAAATCAGCAAAAATCGGAAAAAATCTTTTGTGTACCATAGCGAGCCGCTCTCCCAACGACCAAATACAACTCCACACGACCGAAGACCCTCAACGACATAGCGCAAATGATTTCATGGACGCTGAATGGATAATTCGATCTTGTGGCTGGTCCAAAACCTTTTGAGCGCTCATAGAAGACCCTTTTATTTCGATGGAGAAGGGCGCTCAATCATGAGTGCGTTGACACAAGTGTGGGCTGAGTTGACGATGGATGAAAACCAGCAGCTGTCGGTGAAGACGATCAAAGTGCACTCAGCTGCGTGCAGAGCCATGGATTTTGATCGTGGCGCATCTGCTGAGCAAAACAACACGTACGAGGGATGTACTTGTTTGTTACGCAATTCCAGGGGTTATTCCTACATGTGAGAATTTCTAGAGAAAGCGTCTACAAAGTGAAGAGCGGGGGAAGCAGAAAATAGGATTTTCCGTGTGTTTATCAGAGAGTGAAATGTAATACGTAGCGATAAAACCTCACAACTTCCGGGAAACTGTTGGAGTGTTCAGGACTGGGTAGTGGCTGTTCACTAGCGATGGTACAGAACAAGGGATCTAGGTTGGGATATCCCAGCTGCGGTGAGGAGCACATTGTGCCCATCACCCTCGTGGCCCTTCCGTTTCAAATACTGTAAAGAGGGAAGGCTTAAATATGAGTAAAGAGGAGGGGATAAGGCTTGCCGGACGAAAGAACGTGTACCGCCGTGCGCAGTCTCAAGCTCCTGTAGAGTATTAATTTATTATATTGTTTGGTTTTTTTTAAAAATATTTCAATTCCCAAAGCAGCTAGTGTTCCATGACAAGCAGCAGGTTCTCTGGGGTTATTTTCAGACGCTAAACAATAGAAGCTCAGCCCAAATCTTTGGTGGTCTAAAAAAGCCAAATAGGCTACCGTCAAAACAATCCTATGGAAGGAGCAAGAGAAACTGTCAGGCTTGGATCAAATCTTCTAACCTCCAGAGACGGTAGATGTGTTGATTGTCAAGGGGGGTAAATTAATAATCGACGGAGTACGTAGGCCTTGAAGGAGCGCTTTGCTGATTCCCCAATCGATCGCTGCTGCCGAATGACGACCTATAAGTTCCTACTAGAACGCCATGCGTAGGCAGAGAGTTTGGTCAACTGACGAGAGTTCAACGAGCCTCACCAAGGAAAGACGCGGGTTAACAGAATTAAAAAGAAAGACAAGCGAAAGTGCAAGGTCGTCGCCCGCCCCCCCCCGCCCCCCCAAGCCGAACAGCGCGCATAAATCAACTAACCAGTTGAAGCGTGCGGTATGTTGTGGAAGGAATTGTAACGCGAGGTTCTCGTTTGAAGCGAGGAATCGTTCGTTTTCTGAGTTCGCCTGCTGCTGGCGAAGCGCAACTTCATCAGTTAAAATCAGTATCAACTCTGGGAGTTCGCAAGTGGGACAGGGTTCTGCGAAGTAATTGAAGCTTTCCCAGTAATAGAATGCCGATAAACGCTCTAAAATGCATCATTCCCACATTATGGCTCAATTTCCACTGGCAATGAAAAGATTGTTTGAACAGCTGGAAATCTCGAACTACCTTCATCGTAACATTACATCCACGGACTTTGTTGATCGCTGTAACTGACGTTACGGGTAAGAGGTAGGTAGGTGAGGTGGTTTCCGACTTACCGCGCCTACGTTTCGACTTTTTGCCCCATAATTACAGGCCATCGCCTGTGTAATGAGTCGTACGAAAGAAAGCACAAAAGAGAGGAAAAGATATATGGATCAGGTGTATGATTTAGCCGCTCAACGAAGAGCTACCCACAAAGTAGCGACGCATTGCATGAATGTAAGAAACGGGTCGTGCCAGCTACGACCTCGGCCCTCGATCGAGACAAAGCCCTGGTAACGGACTCCCCCACCTTAAAAGAGCGTCTCGGTAGCGACGCCCCGACCCCTCCCCTCTCACCCAGCTGGACCTACCCTACCTTTTTCCTACAGATCCCAATCTGCGCTAACAATTTTTTCCAACATTTCCCACATTTTCTAGTTTTTCCACCCAGAGACAGGGCACATCATTGAATGGGGATTTTACTCAATTACGTACGACACCCCTCCCTCCGTTTTGTTTTGGGGGGGGGGGAGGGCTGGTAACGCACCCTCCACCCCCCCTTCCGGACCCCTCTTCGTCCCCCCCTCATCGAACAAACGCGTCGGAGCGGGGCGGGGCGCGCCGGTAAAATAGCCATAGGTGAAGAGAGGAAAAGCTGCGCGATGACGATACGCACCAGCCCGCGCTGGATCGTTGGTTAGTTTCGATATCCGTGACTAGCCCTGTCGTACCGAACACCCCAATAAAAAGGTGAGGGGAGGTCGTACAGACTCGACCTAAATCGCGCAACCATGATGGTGCCCTGCTATAAACTGGACCACGAAACACGCAGATTAGCGCTGGAAATCCAAAGGGGGGTGAGTACACTGGAACTCAATATCAAGGTTTATGAGCCTCCCGCTCGACGGAAAATCTTTGGGTAGGGCACGTCTCTGTTGAGGAATCCCCAACAGGGGAGGTGGGTCGTATTTGGCCGCCAGGAGAGGGGGTCCTATTTTGGGGTGAGAAAAATTTATTTCGGGGGGAGAGAGGGCGATAGGTGTGATTCTTCTCTGCTTCAACGGGCGTTGTAAAGGGGGACGAGGTGGGGTATGGGAGTGGGGGGCATAGCCAATGCGAAACGGGGAAAAACGCAAACAGTCAATAACCAGGAAAAAATTTTCCCAGAGCGGCAAATTTCTCTCAAAGGCACACACGACCCCCCTCCCCCCGGACACACTCCCAATCAACCTACGCAAAGTACGACCCATTGTGTTATTCAGGGGTGACGAACGATAGCTGACTATTCTGGTCTCCTGGCATCTGGATAGCGCGCGTGCAAAGGGAAAAATCAACTAAAAAAACTTTGTCAGGCCGAATAGACCCCACCTCCACCCGCTGTGTTGGGTCCGCGACGTGCCCCTGCTCATGAGGGCTGAACAAGCTTCCTTGAGCTCCATTCGGTGCTTCCTCCTTTAAGTCATGTGCGATAGTTTCTGAGCGTGAACCAGAAAGTCAAGCATAGCAAAAATCTTTTCAGAACAAACGACTCCCTGCACTGCAGGCGAACTAAAATACCACCCCTAGCTGCGGAATCTCCAACGTACGCACGTTGCCTTGCTCGAAAGCACTAGCGCAGGCACGTCGTTTGTTGGGACCCTCAACACTCCGGCGGCGGGAGTCCGCAGTGGCCCTGACAGAAGACGACATGAAACAGCAGGAATCAGGGCAAAAGGTCCCACCACTCTAGGAAAGGCGCAGAAAGGCAAATACGACCCGCCTCCGCAACGTGAACAAGTAATGTCGACCACCCCCCCTCCTTGGTTTAGCAGTGTCGCATGAAGCGGAAAGATCAACTATCAAAATTAATTTCTTCTCCCAAATACCGACCCCATGCCTCTCCTGACAGCCTAAGGAGACAGACCCCCTCCCCCCTCCGTTCGACAGCGAAATTTTTGGGAAAAAGTAGGGAAGTTTTCGGGAAATTTCGGAAAAAGAGGCAGAAAGTTGGGGAAAATCTGAGAATCTGAGAATTGGTAAAACGGAGGAGGATCATATTGTATCGCGGCTTTCCTGTTCGACATGTGCAATGACCCCCCCCCCCCACCCCCGCT